TACAATTTACACCATGCTAGAAGAATGCAATTCTTTTAGAAGTAACCTTATTTTCCTACTAATTTATAATTATAGGCGTGTTTAACCACTGCACCACCAGGGCTCCTTGTTTAATTCCGTAGCTGATTCATTTTTATTGGTAATGAATAGTATTCTAGCTTATAGTATCTATCTTGTATCTCAAGTAGTTAATGACCTGTAAATGAACTCTTAAATATGCTAGGAAGCTCATTATTTAATTATTTAGCAAAGCAATGATCCTTTGGTTATGTAAATTACTGATATTAAATTATAAATTTGTAAGTATCCAGTTTTATGTTTTATTCTGGGCCCTCCAAATGACCTTCCAAACCAGATATTACTTGATCTAAAGTTAAGAACATGAATAATGGGGAGATGAAAATACCTACTTAGTGACAGAAAATGGATATAAACCATAGCTAGAGATTCCTACTTTTCTTGCAGATGATAGAGCTAGTGCCCATGAAGATGATGATAGCTTTGTCTTGTCGTATTCTCCCCCCACCCCCCCTTTTCCAGGTAGTTGTTTAGATTTATGAATATAGTATGTGCCAGTTAGATATAAAGATTTTCTCCTATAATGACATTTTATTTGAAGACCCTCTTTACCCAGAGAGATATTTACACTTTTTCTTTTTGAGTGCCTATTAACTGCTAAACATTTACTAGGTACTGGAAATAATCTGTGCCTGGTGGAATGGAAGAGGGGTGGGCAGGAGAGAAAGGGGCAGACAAATCAATAAACCATTTCAAACTGTGTGCTAAGTGAGATAGCTGAGTTATGGTCAGAGAACTCTGACATTTAGGACCATCTGTTCCAGCCTGGGAGTATAACGGAATACTTTGGAGGATGTGAAGACAGATTTGAGAGCCAAGAGAAGTAGAAGTTGAGAACGGGAAGTAGGGCTACCTCAGGCTGAGAGAAAAAGTATGTGAGAAGAGGAGAGAAACCATGGGCTGAGCTAGGACCTGCAATAATTCAGTTTGGTTACAACGTCGAGTGTGAGGATGGTGGTGGTGGTGGAAAAAGACAAAACTTATATAAAGAAGTCACAGGAGAGATCAGGATAATTGAGCAGACACAAGATACTCTACAAGTGGAATTAATAGGGCTTGACTATTGATTGGATGAGGGGGATTCAATGAAGGGGAGAGGGACAGAGAATGACTTGAAGTCTCCTGGCATGGATAGATAGGTAAATGATTTTGCCATTCCTTGGTTCATTGATAGGATTGAAAGAGGAGGAGTAAAATGACAGCATTGTTGGGGGAGGGGTGAGTGGGGAAACTGCTGAGAGTTTATTTGAGGTATCCTTGGAACATCCTGGAAGAGATGTTTGTTGGTGTTATTTATCATATGAATTTGGAGCTCAGGGAGAGATAGGAGCAAGAGTTGCAAATTTAGGAGTTTAAGTTAGACAAAAGGTTAAGAGTTGGAACTGTGCATAGTAGATTAAATTGTATCATCCAAGTAGAGAATAAGATGCCACCATCTTGGACAATGAGTCTACATGTTCCTCAGGCTACAGTACATCACATACACACACAAATTTGAAATCTGAAGGATCTAGGAAATGGTAAGTCATGTTAAACTAGACATGAACATTAGTCAACTATTGCACCCTTCCCTAACACAGCTCATAATCTAGCAACCTGGTTTTACAGGTGGAGGAGAGGTTTGTTCCTAAAATGCTGGGGTAAATGTTTTCATGTAGCCCAGAATACCCCTTCTGTATGCATCCTCTCCATATGGCTGAATGTGTGCTTAAAGGCTTCTTGGCATAGGGAGAACATCGCCAGGCCGTTGCCTTCAGTCAGTCAGTCCTTCCCTCTTTCCTGAATACCGAAAGTTATACCTTTGGAAACTCAAGGGAAAATTAGTCTCAATTTATATTATCTTTAACATGTGAATTGGGTCTCTTGATTTCTAATTTACTGGTTTTTCCTAAATCTTCCCTCACTGCCTGATATAGCTACTCTTTTTCTTAGTTCCAGTGCCTTCTCTCCAGGCCTTCATTCCTGTCAGAATTACAATAGATTCCTAACAATTCTAGCTTTCTGCCTCTCCTCAGAAATCTTTTCTGACTACAGCTGCCAGCATACTTCCAAAACCCCACTTTCATGAAGTCACTCACCCAAGGGCTGACAATGATTTTTCCACTGCCAATTACATCAAGTGCAGACCTCTTTCCTTCCTTCCAGGTTCTCTACGATAAAATCACAGCCAGCCCATGCAACGGTATTTCACATCTCCCTGATAGAGCTTTTTGGGGCAATCAGATCTATTTCATTCATTTTTCCCTTTTCATTGACTTTTCTTACAAAAGAGCAGAGATGAGACTCAGAAACCCTGACCCTAAGAATGGACCATAGTGAGCCTTCTGGCAAGCTATGTAAATTCTCATTTACACCTGAACGAGGATACCTGCTTAACACGTTTCATAGTGTTATTCTGAAGAGAAAATGAGAGTCTATGCGAAAGTGCTTTCTAAATTATAAAACAAAAGGAGTTCGGACAGCACAATGGTTAAGTGCTCGGCTGCTAACCAAAAGGTTGGTGGTTCGAACTCATCAGCCCCTCCGTGGGTGAAAAGACCTGGTGATCTGTTCTCTAAGAAGCCCCAGGGGACAGTTCTATTTTGTCACATTGGGTTGCTATGAGTCGAAATTCGACTCCATGACACCTAACAACAATACCACCATGTAAAACAATTTCTCTTATCTGACGGTCCAAAAATATGACTTTAACTGTATATATTTGGTATCTTTAAAAATATGTCTTTACAGATACAAGTCCCTGCAATCCAATTAGACTGAAATAATTAGAGAGACCTGGAAGTTAGGAACAGAAACAGAAGCCAAATAAATCCTCAACAAATTCTCAGTGATTTTCAATATAGACCTTCCAATAAAGTAACGTTTTAAAAACATAGATGCTTGCATCAGACTAGCCGGTAGTCACAAAAAGGGTGGATATGGGCATTGGGAACGGTGAATTAACTTTAGTCTTTGAACCACACTTTGCAAAGCTTCTATGAGGAGGGAGGCAATAAGGTGACAAAGAATGAGAGCTGCACAGGTTAGTAAGATTGAGCCATGAAATCACAAGGACGTCGTCAAAGATTTGAATAATCAGACAAAAAAGTAAGCGCTATATGCATTATCTACAACAAACTAAGAATACACAAACATCTCATGGTAACTTTGATGTAAAAGGGCTGTGAATAAGTAAATGAAAATTAATAATACACTGCTCATTAGTACTCATTTAAAGGTTCAAAATGTCATTTTGTGGGTGCCGTTTTATTCCCTTTAATCCTATTCTCTTTCATATGCCAATTTCCATCACTGTTTTCAAGGCCCTGTTCCCAGGTTGGGGGGTCTATTGGATCGCTAACATTATGGAACCTCCATGGCATTTTCCCATTGCTGTGATCTATCTCCTCCTTCCCCAAGTGTCTCTTGCATTTATGGTCTCTTCCAGTCAGCATCACTGGCCTTGGGCTGTTCTTAATTTTTCTCCTGAAGTGTTTCTTCTCTTTCCCCAAACTAAAGCTCCTTAAGGGTAACATAAAATCTAATACTCTCTATTCCTTATGCTTGTTGTCCAGATACAGCCTAGACTCAAGTATTTCTGGAATAAGTGAGATCACATCTAATAAACAGAAGTTTGCTGAGGTCTCTCAGCTATAAATGAATCACAGGTAAAAGATGATTTTATTATGGGGGTATAATCTTAGCTCCTCATAAATATTTACTATTAATGTGTTTACAGAACCATATTTTTTATGGCCTAATGTCTTGTTCAGTTAATGAGACGCATTATATAAAAAGTTTTGCTTTAAAAATCATTCCCAGTTACTAATCAGGTCAGAAACACTTAGGAAATTCAGGACAGTTCATTTAACATTCTCCTTTTGATACGATGCCCAGACATTATAAATAGAGCATGGATCCAAAACGTACAAAAACCTTTTTGTTTTCAGTCCTACACTTCCTGACAGAATTTGAAATCAAAATGGCACTCACACAACCAATTAAATCTATCTCAACTATTTGGGGAATACTGGCAAGAAGAGTTTTTTTTTTTCTTTTTCCTTTATTTTAAAAGTATTTTATAAGTGAAAAGGACAATATCATCTTCAGAGTTTGTTGAGATATTCAAATATGTCGTCCCCAGAAGCAAGATTCATCATGAAGAGTATCTAAGGCCTAACCGTGTTTTCAAAGTAGTGCCCACATATACCATATTTGTTGAACAAATTCAGATTTATTGAAAGTAAACATTTACATTGGCTACAATGTTCGAACTATTACAAAGCTGGATAAAAGAGGTTTAAGTAGCAATAGAAAGCAAGTGCGATAAAAAGTGAATAGAGAAAATACTTGGCCTTAGTGATTTCTTGGCAGTATTTACATTATGTACATATTGTTAAATATTTATAATAACTCTAAGGCACCAAAGGCTAAATAGCAGGTTGCAGTAGTATTTTGTGCACAAAAGTCAAGAAATTTATTGTAAAGAAGGCTGTATAGTGAAAAAAACACAGGCATTTCTTAATGTTTACATAAAGGAGTGGCTGCATTTTTTTAAAATCTCAAATGGTACATTAAATATTGGGCAGATTAAATAAATTATTTTTAGAACATTAACTTATGTTGACTATGTAAATAAGCACTACTTTTTTACTGACTTGCTGGTAAATGTGTAATGTAATCTATTCATCAACACAGCTTTTTCACACTCTGGATATGTTTTGTCTAAAAACTACTTGAAATTCTTTTGACCTACAAAAACTTATCCTATCATAGTGTATAAAAAATCCCCAAGAAAAATTAAATGCATAATAATATACATCAAATTTGTATATAATCTGACAAAAATTTTGCAGGCATTAAATGGCAAAATACTTGAATATTTAGTCTGCCATTCTGGCACAGCAGTTGGGTATTTTAATTATTTAACTGTTTAGGGTGAGCAACTGTTTGAAGCTTTAGGTGAATGGACATAAAATTGATCCATGTAGAAAACCAATATTAAAAAGAACTAACTTATTTCAAATTTTGCAACTTAAAACTCTTTCAAACAACTCATCAGGTGTTAACTATGGTATGTCATTCGCCAGAAGAGGCTAAAATATCCGTGTCATGCGTTGTCAAGAGATAACCAACAATACCTGTGTCCAGCATGGGCTGCTAAATTATTTGGCACCTTCTATCTGTAAAATGTTATTTGTTCCTTACACTGGAAACCTACTTAAGAAACAGTCTTTATCAGTTGTCTTGAGGTAGCGTTATAATGAAGAATTCAGCAGAACAGTAGAATAACAGCATAATGTTCTTAAAATGTGCTTCAAATGCCATCATGAAATCCATATTTATTCAGTGACCCTTTACGACATGCTGAATTACCATCTGATGAAGCCACTCAGACTCTAACAAGGATGATGAGTTTTCTCTTAACACTTTCTGAAACTCCATGCCTAAAGGCAAGTTATATTGTGTAAAGTACTGCTAAAATGCTTTCAGTGGTATTAATTAAAGATTTATAGATTTGCATATGCAAGTTTTTCTCTCTTTTAGCAAAGCGGAGAAAAATCCAGGAATTTCTTCTCTAAACTCTTTTAAATTTTTCAATAAGAAACACCTATAGCATTAAAAATAGTTTGGATCTGTGTCCTATACTACACAGTATTTGAAAGTAAACTTAAGGATGTGGCACACTGTCCGAATTTTAAATTTAACAGTCCCCTTCAAATCCAACATTTGACTGAGATTTGGTGAACAACAAAAACAAAAGTCACTCCAAATAGTGCACTCTAAGGCACCTCGAGTGCCTTACCAGAATGCATTCTACAGCATTAGTTTATACGGACATTGTTACTTTTTTCTCTTCTCGAATGTTCAATCATTTTCTTCTCTTTTTTATACAGTGGACGTGAAAGAGGACAAATTATTCTTAGTAAAATGCTTACAAAATCGGTAATGTAGGAAAAAGCTGAATCAGTTTAGTAGAGGAAGAATTTTCTTCCCTTACTAAAGAATGAAAATAAATTATTGCCTTTGCTCAGGTTAATATTTAGTAACAATGGCTACACAATTAATATAACTATTGCAAAGCATCAATGAACAGATTTCAAATGATTATAAAAACACAATACAATATCAAGTGTTTGGAATCATTGAATAAGCCCATAGATAATATTTTATTGGGGTAACTGAATCAAGGCATGATAACAGCATTTAAACTTCTAAATTTTAAGTACCTGCTTGCATTTGGGAAGCATGATATTAATTTACTAATGGTCTGAATTGAAATTAGATTCTTTAGAAATATATGCATTTACATCAGTATACTACAGTATTCTCAATTTCAAGAAGCTCAAAAGACCAGCTCTCCTTCTGACACTTAATATTGGGAAATAAACTTAAGATCTGCATTCTGCATTCTAATACCACTCAATTAACTATCATTAGAAGATATCTTACTTTAGTATCATAAAAGATGTCCATTGCTCCATAATATTTAATAAGCATTAAACTATCAACTGCTTTCCTTCCTATGATAGGAGAATCTACTTTTATTCTTAAGTTGGCAATACAGGTTTATATTATGGTAGTTTTTACTCTCCTAAACAGTTCCTCTTGAATCCTACAAGTTACCCTTGTAGTTCAGATTCTAATACTATACTCCTTACAGATTACTAAACTGTTAAGTAAAGCCTTAACAGATCAGGTCAGTGGTTTTCTAATTATGCTTGGAGGCACTTTAAAGAGTTAATAAGGTGCCTCAATGGGCTTGGTAGACAAACAGACGGGGTTCCCCACTTCAAAATCCTGCTATTGCATCTTCATACTTACGTCGTATGTAAGATATCCCACAAAATTAATTTGAAAAAATAATTCAATTGCTTAAAAATGTTTTTAAAACACAGTCAAAGTGATTTGAGGGATGTAGGGAGTCTTGGAAGAAAGTAAGGAGTCCTCTTGTCCCATATAATGTCTCCAAATATTCAGTCAAAGACCACAAAATAGGATACTGTATCTTGTCTTTATGATGCTGGTATTAACCCTCAGTCTGTCTTGGGTTCACAGGCACAAGTCAAAATAGATCCATGTTTTAAGTGGACTACTATCAAAATGGTCAATATTGCAACCATTTCGAGCCTATTATTTTCAGAAATAAGTGGTATATCTATCAATTATTTACAATATAAGAAAAATAAAAGATTAGTAAATACTTCCTAAATTGCAGCCCTTAACAATGTGTATGACCTTTTCTTTTACCTTTTATGCCAGACAAAAGAAATAAACACAGAAGTTATCACATTATACTTGCAAATGACTATACATTTTTATTATTTTTTTCTTTCTAAGTAAATTACAATCAGATATGAGCCTTGATTCAGGGTTTGAATAAAGTGGTAGACTCAGGAATTAAACTGCTTTCATGAATGGCCTTATTCTGAAGACATTATGCAGGAATATAAACACTGTCAATTACAACTTAAAGTGAATAAGAACTCTCGGACCCAAAGAAACAGAAAAGATTCTGATGAGCACATGACTCTTGAAGGCTGAATGTTGACAGCTGGTGTTATTGTTCTCTATAAACTCACTTGTGTTCTTTTAATATAAAAGAAGCTTCAAAGTTTGTCTTCTTTCTCAACATGAAAATAAAATTAAACTATAAAAATGCTGGTGTGGTATAAATAAAAAATATGTTCCATTGTAAGAAATTAAAAAATATATACTGTTTGTTTAAATTCTGAGGTGTTTGTTTTAAACATACGATCATTTGAGCACAGATTTAGTTTACCAGGAGCATTCATGTTCCCCAAAGTATGATTTTTAGATAACCTTTTAAGAGCTGAATTTTAATTGATGGGACATTTCTTAAAACAAATAGAAAAACTATTTGCAAATATTCTCAGTGAATGAACAGTGGTAAATTTGGCTCATATCTTGATGTCCATATTTACTGCTTACTGAATAATATCTTCTTTTCAACAAATGAGGATAGTTATTGTGGACTATCTGCACCATCTCTGTTGTCAAAATATATATGTGTGTGTATGCACACACATATACACACAAACACACATTCTGATGCATGAATCTATAGGTATGTATATTACATACTTTTGGGCAAAGCACTGTTTCTAAGACCTAGCTGTTTTTATATAAGGAAAAATAATAGTAGAATAGGGAACAACCCTCCCAAAACATACGAATGTTCATGCCACTAATAATATAGCACATCAGAATATGCAAACATTATACTTATTGCAAAGTATCTTATAGATTTAGATGCCATTATAAAATGTTCTCAATTCTATTTTGGTAACCTAAAATGTTGGTATATAATACCAAATGTCCAATTAAAGAGTTTAATATAAAAATATCAGCACAAAACTGTTTTTTAAATCTGTTTATTGTGAGCAACCCAAACTTCAGTTTAAGTGCTGTTTTAATTTTATTACTAGATACCATAACCCTACAATTGACAAATTTTATACCATTTTAGGTATATAATGAGATACTTAGAAATACTAAGAAAAAAATCAGTATTCAAAGGGTTAATTCTGTTTATAATAATAAATTATTTTATCATCTTCTTCAGTTCAAAATCCAGCTTTGAAACCGAGGAAGGCTTTCAAATCATGTTAATTAAATGGTGGTCCTTTAACCAGTAGCAGTTTGATTACCAATTACTCGAAGGATCTCTTTATGAATGCCTCCTTCTTGTGTGTTAATATTTGCATCTCCCACTTGGCCATCTTCATAGCTAAAACACAAAACACAGAATCATAAAAACATTCATTAAAATGATAGCATTTAAAACAGCTTAGAAATGCTATTTGATACCTAAAATATAGCCTAAGGGAAAGATACAGTTATATTCCAGTTGTATTTAATAATGTGTTCACGTTACTAAACACAAAAAAAGCCCATTATTCAACTTCATGCTTTAATTTGCCCATGGCTTCTCTTTAAATTTTAATTTTTTTTATCCAAACACAAAGCATTGCCTGGGTTGCAGGAAGCATCCCAGTGTCTGGCTTTGCAAGCATTTCCCACAGCAGCTGTTACGAGGCCTACTGTGAACCAATACACAAACTTCAACATTATGTCCCTTGGATAATGGACCTCTTAGCTCCACTTCTACTTCGGTCACTTATTTATTTTATGATTGATGGCATTCTTATAAATTACTTCATTTTCTACCACTTGGCCGTGCCTGCCTTCCAGTTATTATTCTCTTGCAATCACTGCTGCATTTTTTTTTCTCTTAACACTGCTTGCTCTATTTAGTCTGACTGTAACATATTCTTACATATGCTGGTACTTCACGTAAGACTCCAAGTCGGCTAACTTTAGCTAAGCAACAGAAGTGAAAGTATAATATTAAAGGACAGCAATTACTAAGTCCTTTAGAAAAAAAATAATTACATTTCAGATAATAATTCATTTCCTCAAATAAAAAGTTACTTGGGCAATAAGAATTTCCCAAGAATGAATTTTTAAACTTTCATGGTAATATTCAGGGTGGAATAGGTGATGAAATTAATTTTATTTCACAAAAATGGATTCAAGACTGAAGCTTTAGAGAAGTGGTAATACTTCAAAATAGATCACTGGGTGGGGGTGGGGGAAGCAGTGTCTCAAAGATTAAGGCACGCCACTGTCTTTCCTCACCACACATACGTTCTCCTGAAATAGCACAATACAGGAAAATGAAAAAGATGACATAGGGCAATGAGAGCTTAGTTCCTTGCACAATCCATTGCTTAAACACCTCCATATAACTGCATTTGTATCTAGTGTAGACTCCTAACTAATGATCCAAGGTTTGCTTGTCAACTTGGTTAATTCTTACCATACAAGTTTGTTCCTTCAGATATACTCAGCACATTCCAATTTACTTAGGCTAGTGGAAACCCTGGTGGCATAGTGGTTAAGAGCTACGGCTGCTAACCTAAAGGCTGGCAGTTTGAATCCACCAACTGCTCCTTGGAAACTCTATGGGGCAGTTCTACTCTGTCCTATAGGGTCACTATGAGTCGGAATCAACTTGACGGCAACCGGTTTCGGGTTTTTTTGGTTTAGTATTAAAGTATATTTAAATTGTATGTCATATGTTTTATTGTACAAAGTATGGCAGGAAATGCAGGGTAGAAAAAGATGAGGAAAGGAGTTTGCCCTTTAGGAGTTCAAGCCTTGTGAAGAGTAAGATACAATTAATTTTAAATGGAGTTCTGCAATGAGCTAGGAACACCAGTAAGAGAGATTAATTTTGACCAGAAGTTTCATGAAAGAGGTGGTACTTGAACTAGACCTTGAAAGATAAAATAGATTTGGATAGCAATTCCTGATATTTATTTAGGACTGTGATTTTGCTTGACTAGGATACTTGACAATACTCTGTCCTATTTTCTGCAGGTCATCTATTTTATTTGGTTCTTCCTGTTCTTAAATTTTGGAATTGCCTGAAATGTTTGGAGAAATTAAGGAGGTATATATCTTTTATTTATTCAAAAAACAAAATATAGAAATAATTTATTTGCAGATCTGGCTGCTCTAAATCAAAGAAACACTAAAGCATTCAACATGTAGATATTTACATCAAATGAGCAGGATAAGCAAATCTAATGATTCTTAACCTTTCCTTGGACACTGACCAGCTGAGGGAGAGGATGTACTCCCATCTCTAACTTGCTCACTACAGCAGTGGCGGGGGCTGGGGGGAGACCACGGCAATAGATACTCTTATTCTGTTATCTTGCCAAATCCTCAATTACCTTCTCTTGGATTTTATTATTTTATTCTACTTAAGAAAAATACCAATAGTGAGTGTTCAAATCCAGCTCTAAAATTACTCATCCAATGTGTAGTAAACATTTTTGTTGTATATGACTGGAGCACAAGATGTATGTTTGCTTTTCACATCCCCTTGTTTGAGCCCAGCATCTGGCCATTTTTAAAACAGCTGCCTTATTTCTACCTATGGGCCTTAATGCCCTTGTACACATGCATTAAGGTCAGTAATGAAATCAGGCTTTGCCAACAATTTTTAGGCACTAGAAATTGGCTAGAATCTGTTCATAACATCTGAATTATTACATTTTCCCTGGAGCATTTATTTTTTAATTAAGTTTTCTCATTTTGGAATTTCCCAACAAAATGTTTCCAAACTTCTCATTCTCCCCCCTCCCCTCCCGAGTGATATCTTTTCTATTTTACTCTCAACTTCTTCTGATCCCTAAAATTTCCTCCTAAATTTTCTCTCATTTTGTGTTGTTTTTTACTGGAAGACAGAATGTGATTAGTATACTAAATAACTTGTATTATCTCTTTATTATTATCTTCACTTTGGGAGTCAGATTAACATGGAAGCTATTTTAATTTTTAATATTACTTAATAACATAAAAAAAAGAGATCCCATTCATTTATATTGTAGTCTTTAAACCAAGCTTCTTACATTATGGATTATACAACATAAAATAAATAAGAATAAAAAAAGAATATAAATAAAGTTTCCATCTGATAATTGTGTATCTGTGATAGCTCACTCCATTCTCCGCCATTACTTTTTCCTAAATGTTACCACTCACTAGGGAGACACCACTAGCAAAACTTCGTGACCATCTTGCATAAAGCAAGAAACTGATGGTTGTAATTAGAATGTACAATAATTAGTGAATAGATTCTCCTTTTGATCTGTTTTTTAATCTTATCAATTTTCCTTAATTAGTCTCTTCTCTCCTGAGGGTGCAAAGAATGAAATTTCGTTTGTTTGTAAAGCAATGAAAATTATTCTCTTAACAGATTTTCCCCATTTATGTTATCTGTAAAGTATTTGACTGTACTCAAAGTATTTTCTTCTATTTCCTTCTGATGATCTTTCCTCAATTTTTTATTATGAAATGCAGACATCCTTCTCTGCAGTAAACACACACACACCCCCTACACATTCTCCCCTACAGATTTATTTTCTGTATACTTTACACACAATTTCCAATAAAGTACACTAGAAATGGCTATTGCTTTCTTAAGGACCTAAGGTTGTTTATTTCGCTCAATAAATATGAATTTAAACAAGAAGTCAAAAATGGTAGATTAACTTAATTAGATGACAGAACTTTTCTGTCAAAATCTCAGGGTCCCTCAATAAAATAATATTGTGATTGGCAGTCTCCTTTGGAAGGCTGAGCTTCTCTAACAGTGGGTAACGGTCAAGATGATCAAGAAGGAAGAGGAAAAGGATTTAATGAGTGTCTTTCAGTGGAGAACTGTATTCTGCTAAATTAATCCTCATAATAACCTCATAAAAGGCAGTGTGCCAGACAGCTTCCCTTGGAGCTTCCAGACCCACTTGGCACCCTTCTCTACCTTGCATTCTGTCCCAGGAGGCTACATCAGTATGCTCCCTGGCCTTCTAGCTTCTGGTAGGATTTGGTCAATGGGGAGTCCCAGCAGGACACTGGTTCAAAGGTGAAGTCAGGGTGTTAATTCTCTTGGTTCCATCCCTCCAAACCACCTTGGACTGCCTATGTCCCTCAACTGAAGGCCATGGCTCCTTTCAAAGAGGCTGAACTGGAAAGGACTCTCTTACTAGGTTCTGGCAACTGCTTCCTCCCCTTGTCCTTTCGATCATCTATGGATGTAAGAGCCCTGGTGCAGACAGATTCAGGTTACTATGCTAGACCTTCAGTTCCATTATACCCACAACTCTGTAAACGACCTAACTGTAGATGGCAGAAATGATCATATGTGGCATGGGTCATTTGTGCACTGTTGGGATTCTGACTGATACAGGTAGGTATATTACTCTCATTTTACAGATGAAACTTAGGGAGGTTATGTAACTTAGCTAATGTCACCTTACTAATAACTGGTGGGTCAGGATTCAAACTGTCTGACTCAACCGTGTGGTTCTTTCCACTACACTTATTGTTTCCTCACTATTAAGAAAGAAATCTACAGCCAATAAATGTGTATCATAAGAAAATCAGTTTCCATACCATCCTAAAGGAAGGCAGGCAGCTCACAGCACTTCTGTTGTGAACAACTGTCAATAAGCTAACGGATCAAATGCTGAAGGCACAGAGTACTAAGAAGTCATGACATTTTGAAACAAATATTTTCATGCAGTTATTTTGACACGGCTTATTTAAACAAACCAGTGAAATCTGCAGCATCTTTCTAGACAACAATGAAGTACAAAGCAGAGATCCCCTACTCTTCCCTGAGTTTCTTTTAGTGACAGGTTCGTGGATTAGGTGGGAACAGACATGAGAAAAGATTTGGGGATCAGGGTGGGATGAAAACCAGACAGGTCTATTGCAACCATTATTTACGAATGAAAAATAATGCTCTTATATGTTAACGCAGCTCTTACAACTAGTGCCAAAAAAATCCACATTAATATGTTCTGCATTGCCAGCCTATATTACAATGGAATGTAGATCAACCGCGTACAGACACAGCACCTTCATTATTTCTTTATCCTTAGTTTTAATATTTTTTGAAAACTCTATTCATAAAGTGTGTGTATATATATATACACTATATACATTCACATATATGCACAAGGAGCTACTCACATGCACACGCACACACATCTACATACACACACGCAAAGAGAGACGGTTAAAGAGGCAGAATGCTTCTCTTCAGTTCTAAGTTCACAGTATTTAACCATCATTTTTTTTTAACAGCTTTCTGAAAATCAAACAAAAACACTAAGTTCACAGTAAACTAAATTACCTGTGAGTTATATTTTGGCAGCTAAAGTGACCAAATAATAATGTAGTCACGGTTACCTCATTTATAGAGAAGGCAGTAACACACCAATTTGAGCATTGCCACTTACACAAAAAAGAATCGTGTGCAGACATGATCAGTATTTGGAACAACCCATATCTCTCCATGTTTGTGCAGATCAGGTGAGGTGATCACTGTACATGGAAGATAAAATTAAAGAACTATTATATTCTAAAGAAATCCCAGTCCATCCAAGTTACTATATCCCTTCTCTTCAGAAATCGAAAAGCAAAAACACATGCATAAATGGACATAGGACAAATGTTCAACCTTATCAGCTAACAAGAACTGTAAACAGAAACAATGAAAGGCCATGTAACAACTTTATGATTTGATAAACAATAAATACTATAACACTAGGAAGGAAGTAACTTGTGTATTATCAAAAACAAACAAGCCCTGTGACTTGGGAACTATGTAGATAGCAATTAAACATCCTCCATAACTATCAAGTGTTGAAAACTTAAGAGACAGCTAACGGTTAACTCTTGACAAAAGAAGACAAAATGAATTTTTTAGCCAAGGTAGATTTTAAAGCAAGAACAAAGAAAACTATATGATCTTGTAAATCACTTTGTCTGTCGTACGTTCATAATGGAAGAGTAATTTCAGTGTAGAAAGAGAAAGACCTCTTGGGTTATTTTCTCAGTGCTTGGTTCATCTTTCAAATTTTTCATGGTATCATAAGCTCAAACACCAACTTAAAGAGGAAGGTGGCATATTAACCAAAGTGATAAGCATGACTTGATCATAAAGATATTAATTACTATTCTGAAATATCTGCCAAGAATAAAATTTAGCACTTTCTGAATTCTTGCCAAGTCTGCTTTGGTTTTAACCTTTATGATCTCTACTGTATCTGTTTTCCATTTGTGCCCTTAAAATAAAAACCAAACCTGTTGCCGTGGAGTCGATTCTGACTCATAGCGACCCTGTAAGATAGAGTAGAACTGCCCCATAGGGTTTCCAAGGAGCGGCTGGTGGATTCAAACTGCCAATGTTTTTCATTAGCAGCTGTAGCTCTTAACCACTACACCATCAGGGCTCCATTTGTGTCCTTAGAGATGGTCATAAGGCACAATGCTTTCACTATTTCATCATGAGCATCCTGTAAATATACTTGAATTCTAAAACATAGATAAGATGGAGAATTAACATGATGAGGTTTGTAAAACTTTCAACTTACCTTCACATAAAGCTATGCATTTTAAGTTGCGGCTTTGCAGGAATTGGGATTGTTGGCCTTTTTTCTGTGACTGAAGTCCAAAAGAATTTAAAAATTAGAGTGAAAATGGGCACTCAAAATATTAATTAAAAAACAAGTCATTAAGATGGTTTGAGCTTTTTTTTTTTTTAAAAAAAAAGCCTGTCTAGACTAGCAGTAGTCAGAAATAATGCCCTTCAGCTCTCTTTTAATATCAAGCTATACATGTAATATCATTTAATTTCTGTACATCATCATTATTAAATCACTATCATGACGCGTGAACTAAAATTAATGCTAAATTAGAGCTCAAATTTATTTTGACTGGAAGCCTGGCATCTTTATTTGAAGGTACAAAATTAAATTTGCATGATCTTTTCGAACAATAAAATCCATTATTCCAGATCATCCAGCTATCCAAAACCAACTCATTTTTATAGCATCATTTACTAAACCACACAGATTCAGAAACCTCTCATGTAGAAGACTCTTTTTGAGGGAGTAGAAGGGTGGAAAGATATCAGATTATTATTATTATTATTATTATTAAAGTCACAATGCTCATCTGATAGATTTTTCATCTTCCCAGAGTATGTTTGTTTTCTTTTCTTCTCTCTGCCTGGAATGTTCTTTCTCCCAAAGAGCCACATGGTTCATGCACTTGCTACTGGTAGGGGTTTACTCCTTTCTTGACCAACCCACTTAACATTCATCTCATCTTCCCCTCCACACCATGGCATTCTCCATCTCTTTTCCCAGATTTATTTTTCTCAATAGCATTTAACACCATATAGCATTATCTATCTACCTACCTACCTACCTAGCTGTCTAATTTGTTTGTGTCTTCTACTAGAATGTAGGCTTCAACAAGACTGGAACTTTTGTCTATTTTTGATCTTCACCATACCCCCAATGTCTAGGAGAGTCTCTCGCATATAGCAGTAGCCCAATAAATATTTAGTGAATAAAGGCAATTTGGTTATTATATGTTAGGGTGAGTTTCATTTCTCTTTGAGAAATGACCACTTAAAAAGCCTGAGCATTCATTGTAGTCCTCAAGTCTAACAAGTCTACAGCTCACTAATCGTATATAGTCACTCGGGTTGCTCCAATACCTGTGATGCACTGCTGCTTTTACTGCTCGAAGCCGGCTCATCCTTGGCTGACACTTTCTGTTTCTTGTTCATCCCTGAAAACATCAGCAAAATAATAATTGAGGAACAAAGCTGTACGGTGCAGCTTAAAATACCATCTCTCACAGTGCAACATTCCACTTTAGGCAAATGTTTTTCACTGTATGAGGCCAGAGACGGTCACAATGGGCTCCTGAAGACACACCTGGCTGTGCTTCAGCACCTGGGGTTGAAAGTCAGTGAGTTTTGGAACTCTTGGTCAAGCTACAAGGTAGAAACTGCAGTTGGTTTTTCTTTGCATTAAAAACAAAGATAGGAAATTCTTTTGCATGAAATTGATGTATTTCAAAAATTCTTAAAACTTGGTTTTAAAAAGCTTTTACATCCTAACTTTAATTCTCACCGTTTGATTAATACGAGGGGGAGGTAAAGAGTAGGGAGGTATGATCAATAACAGAAAAATATACTGAAACACAAACTTCTTAAACTACTGATATGTACTAAATTCTGTTTAGAATTTAAACTATTTCTTCTAATTATGGGAAATTATGTAAGTTCTTTTGCCCATGATATCTACAAGTCTTAGCTTACTCTATTAATTCCATGATTTCTTACTCCAGAAGATTTTAGAAAAATAGAACTAAGATCCCTATTGATTTTAGAATCAGTAGATTTGTTGTATCTATATTTTATTTGAAAATATTCATCTACTATATCAGAAGTTGGGTGTGTTATTATGTTGATGTTGTTGTTTCAATAAAAGGGTTAATGAGAATTGGCAAAGCCTGCTTATGAAATTGCAAATGGCTTGGATCTAACCCTTTCCAAGTCTGGCATCCCCCAAAAGGTGCAGAGGTGAGTAGGGTCAGGGAGAGAACAGGCCTAGGAGTTCAGACAAGCAGTTTTTGATGAAAAGCAAAGGGTATTGTATGCAGAGGAGTCCCTGGGTGGTGTAAACTAATAGGCTGGCAGTTTAAGAGTCTACCCTGAGATGCCTCAGAAGAAAGCCCTGGTGACCTACTTCCAAAAAATCAGCCACTGAAAACCCTACAGAGTTCTATCCTGACACACATGGGGTCACCATGAGTCAGAATTGACTAGAAGGCTAAAAGTCTGTTCTGCTCTCTAATTCCCAGATTCTCAGCCCTCAAAACTAACTGCAGAAGCTACTTTATCTCAGCATAGTGATTCTTACATTTTCTCAGATCAAAGACTTTCAAGAATTTGATAAAAGTTATGGACTCCCTCCCCAGACAAATGCACATACGCACAAACAAAATTTACATAATTTACAGAATTTGTAATCACCATTCCTCTCCACAAATCCTCGCCAAGTTGTGTTGTGCATTCCTGACCCACAGAATCCAGGAGTGTAATGTAATTGTTGTTTTACACCCCGAGTCTTGGGTAGTTTGTCATACAGCAATTGTAACTGGGATGGTTATCTGTATTTATGCTCTCTTTTAATTTTTCCTTATATAGTTTTTATTCTAGCTTTAATTTTTATGTTAGTTTGCACACTTCTAACTTTTTAAAATTTTCTTTCCCTTGGCATTCTATCACCTTAGTTTTTATCATTGTTGCTACTCTCTTCTGGTATTTCTAATTATAATTCTAGTTTTAAGTGTTTCAATTTTAGTCTCCCATCATTGACAAACAAGCTGCTATGGTTGAAAGAGCATGAACTTTTGGCACAGGAAGAATAGGCCTGGTTAACATTCAGCTAGGTATTAAACCTCCCTATCATTTTCTTTAATATGGGATATTAAGACTTACCATACAGGAAGCATGTGAACAACAACTCCTAGAGATGGGTAATGTGATCAAAGAATCTCACCCTCCCTCTCTCCCTCACACACACACAGTCACACACACAAGCATACACAGCAGCACACTAGTAAAACCAACTACATATGCAGGTATTATGAATATAAAATCATTTTTAAAGACTGAAGAAAAATACATTGAACATTAAAGTTGCAGGAAAAGAGGGAAAACATTTACTTTATAAAAGACTGTGTAGTTGGAATAATTTTTTGGCAATGAGGAAATTACTTTGTATTTAAAGAGAATAGGTTAATTACTATTAAAATAATACTAATCATTGTGTAATATTCCAAAAATAATAAAGGTACAAAAGAGAAATCATCCCAAATTCCACCACCCAAGAATAATTAATGTTAACAGTTTGGTAATCATTCTTTCCACATTTTGAATTTACCAGGCTCCCCTCAGCACATGCTTTCCATTTATTCCAAGATATTATTTCCCACAATCTCACAAAAAATATTAACAAGATGTTAATATGCAGGATGATTATCAAGGTGCTTTTTTTTTTTCTTCCCTCCAGTTTTCTATACCGTTCAAAATTTATTTATGGAGTATTAGTAATATTATAATAAAAGGTATATTAAAGGATGAAGAATGTCAGTTAATATTCTGTAATCTAATATTTTATGGCCATATATTAAATGAATTTAGAGGTGAAATATAGTTAAAATATGTTTGTGATATATCTAGCCTCACCTTATTTTTCTTCTAGTTTTTTATTTTTGAAGTATTAAAACTTTAGTAGATGGGAATTAGCAATGCTAAAGTTTATGATAATTGGTTTAATAAATCCATACAGAGCATAAAGTTATATGAAAGTAGAGGAAAAAATGAATGGAGATAATACTCAAAACAAATGAAAAAAATAAAATATGTTGTTGTTGTGTGCTGTTGAGTTGACTCATAGGGATACTACAGAACAGAGCAGAACTGCCCCATAGGGTTTTCTAGGCTGTAATCTTTACAGGAGCATACTGACAGGTTTTTTCTCCTGCAGAGCTGCTGGGTGGGTTGGAACCACTGACCTTTCAGTTAGCAGCGAATGCTTAACAGTTGCTCCACCAGGGCTCCTTGTCTTATATCCAAGAGGAAGTATTATAAATTCATCTTGACACTTGCACTTTATTTTTGCTTCTAATATTTATCAAGTGACTTTCATATAAAAATATAAAATAAGCTTCAGTCACTTGACACAAAATTGTGCCTAGAATATTTAACACCAAAAAAATTAAAACTAATTTGAGGTTAGAAGTGAAAGACAGGATTACCTGAGTAACCAAATGATATGCTTGACATTGGACTAAGATAGATTCCACTTCCATACATTGCACCGTGGAGCTAAAATGGGAAGAGATGGGAGAGAGAGAGAGAGAGAGAGAGAGAGATCAGTTACTGGTTTCAAATGTTAATATTTTACAAAAGAAGGCAATCGGTCTCATGTTGGAACATTAAGTTTTAGAAAATGATGGAGCTCTTCGTCTTCCAAGTTCTAATTTGAAAATAATACTAATATCCTTGTGCTTAAAATTCAGAGTAAGTTTATATATGAAAAATGATAGCGAGAGGAAAAAAATCCACGATGAAGGTTTTCCAAACTACCAGAGGTAGAATCACTTATTGTAAAGTACTACAGTAGGCTCTTATTTTAAGTAGCCGAAAATTCTGAAAACAAGACACCATCTCAGGTGAAGGCTGAAATACATGTGAAGGAATTTTGATCAAGAGTCACATGCTAGGATATAAACAAAGTGTCCTTGTCAGATTTCATTATGCAATACTCTCTGGCATCTGATTCTTATCCTCCTCTATATTTTCCAAGTTACAGAGAGTTTTATTAACTGAAACTCTTTGACTGGTTTAAGAAACAACTTGGGACAACTAAATTTCTTATTATCTCTATGTTCTAGAATTCTCAACCCTTATTAGTATGAGCTGAATGCTAGCTAATTCAATAAATGTGTATTTAAGGACATTACGTCTAATTGTATCATCTTAATATCATTGTTTTGTGAGGTTTAGTGCAGGTGATTGGGTTGAACATCTTATTTACTGCCCTCCTTACATTGTCAAATGAAAACTAGCTGCATGAGACTGAAGAGGGATGTGAGAGAGGAAAGACCTAAGTAAAAATAGGAACTATACCCAGTACCCTGCTAACCCCTAGGGTGAAAAGCAGGTATCAGATGGCTCTCTGGTGTCCACCTCCAGTTTGCTTTTTCTTAGGCCTATCTTTTCAACTCTAGAGTAGTCACATAAAGGCACAGTACCCAATAAACATGTATTGGATTAATTATAGAATGCTTATACAGTTTTACTTTGTAGGGGATAATATTTTTCTACTTATGTTCAAAGTGTGATTTACCGTGTCTCATAGGATTTTAACTTTCTTTGTAACCAATTAAGTAATTAATTTTCCTTTTCATTTCTACATTGTGTATAGATCAATCCTGCTTTTTATTTTATGAAAATGTACTTATGCCTATTAGACATTCCTTGTAGTTTTTTCAAGTGCATATGCTTCCCCTTTTGGACATAAAAACTTAAAACCAGGACTGCTGACCTAACCTTAATACTGAAGAATAATGAAGTCTTGTTCAAGCATTCAGAAAATTTACCTGCAGTCTTGTATTAGAAGCAACAACCAAACCATTCCTCAGGATGGAGTGCCAGTTTTCAATGTGTGAGCCACTGAAAAAAGGAAAAAGCAAAACCAGAAAATCAATAATCTTTTAAAGTGGTCACGGTATAATAAGTAAAGTGCTGAGTTTCCAAGAATTATGTCACTGACTATTCAGCATTAATTGCCAACTTTTCCCTACACATTTCCAGAAGACTGACTAACATCAAGCCGTACTCACTGAAATGCAAAGGTGCTTCCAAAGAGTTTTTTAGCAGCTCTAAAATTGGATTCTTTGGCTGGTGGGCTGCTGAGAAGAAGAAATTGATGCGGAGTATGCATAAACTTCAATTGCTGTTTTTTAAAATAATGACAAATGAAAACACGTCAAATTTAACATATAACCATGACAATTTCAAATTTTACTGATTTAAGAATTATCTAGTTTCAAACCATAGTAATTTTAGGCTAATCATACTAACAGGCCAATTCACAGAAATTAAAAAAAAAAACAACAAAAACCCTGCATTAATGATAAATAGCATGGAATTGTTGATATGAAGGATAATTCTTTCAGCTAATGGGAAAGGAGCAGGAATACAGACAATCCAAAGTCATTTATATTTAGTTTTAAAATACACTACATAATCATGTCCAAGCAGATCTGCCTGCCTGATTACATTTTTTAAAAGACTTTGATTATTGAATCCCTAAGCATACACTAGCTATTCAACTGAGGAAATATTTTGAGTGTCTGCTAGGCAGAAAAGAAAAGGTAATTCAAGATTTTAAAATTGCAAAATCATTAAGCTTTATTTGCCTATATTTATAAAATTGGAAATTTCTTACATTTAAATGCAGTTTTCCCCTTTGATCACAGGAAGAAATTAAAACAAACTTTTGGAATAGTTGCTGGACAAAACTTTCTAGTTATTTCCCTTTCATTTAGGAATATACTTGCTTGAAAATATTCACTCATGTCTCAGAAGAGTAAACTTGGCAATATTTGGGGGTGTCACAATTTAGAGACTCACAGAAGGGAAATCTGAGATGTTAGATACTGCTCTTAGATCATGGTGAGAACAGAAATGAGAGTTCCAGTAGCTTTTCTTGCTTTCTTCTTTTTTTTTTTTGGAAAGCTTATCAGGCTGGTAAGTAGATATCTGAAGACAGTATCTTCTCAGATATAGAAAGTGCAGATATGTCAACATGAAATCAACAATGATAAAAAGCGTATTAACTTTCTTCTGGTCAATCCCTAGGTAATATACTTTCTATCACTTGTGGAATAACTAAGTGATCTCATATTGACTTCTTCATTTACTTAAAAGGCAGCAGTGTGAATTTGAATTGCATATATTGGAAAGGCTTGGAGCTGGTGCACAAATGACAATTTCAAACTGAAAAAAATTAGACTTAACCTGGACCTAATGCAATTCTTGGAGAGGCTATCTAAAAAGCACAGGGGTCAGTTCTCAAAACAAGTATTTATTCTCCCAACTAATAAGTATCCCATTTCTGAACTAGAATTTAGTACGTGGCGGGGGGGGGAACTTACCCTGTTAACTGGCAGCTTCACAATATGTGACCTATTACTCGAAATAACCCTGAAATTAAATTAATCAATCAGTCACAAATATATGCCAAGTATACTTGAAGTTTTTCTTCTTAGATGGAAAGTGAGTGAATCTTATTTTTGCTATATCATAAATTAAACTCTGTAATAATTTTATTTAATCACATAGTTTTGTTTTGCTTCCTGAAACAATTTAAAGAGTTTCTCTAACAAAAAAAGATAATACTTTAATCTGAGAAACACACGGAGGTCCCTTAAAACCTAAGAAAAAAACAATTCTTAATCATCACTAATCACAACACAAATATCATGAAAATGAACATTTCTGTATATATTTTGAAATAAAGCTAATATAAATACAAAGATTAGAAGTTGATTCATGCATCAGCTTCCTTTACTCCTCCTATACTGCCTAATTAAGAATGAGTTCTTACTATGCAATGATAAAGAACAATGATGAATCTGGGAAACAGCTCACAACGTGGATGAATCTGGAGGCATTATGCAGAATGAAATAAGTAATCACAAAAGAGTAAATACTGTATGAGACCACTATTATAAAATCTCATGCAAAGGTTTACACACAGAAAGAAACAATCTTTGATGGTTATGAGGGAGGGAAGGGGTGGGGAGGGAAAAACACTAACTAGACAATAGACAAGTGGTAACTCCGTGAAGGTAAGACAGTACACAATACTGGGGAAATCAGCACAACTTGACCAAGACAAGGTTACAGAAGCTTCACAGACATATCCAAACTCCCTGAGGGAACAAATTACTGAGCTGAGGGCTGGGGACCATGGTCTCAGGGGACATACAGGTCAACAGGCATAACATAGTTTATAAAGAAAATGTTCTACATTCTACTTTGGTGAGTACCATCTGGGGTCTTAAAAGCTTGTGAGTGGCCATCTAAGATATTCCACTGGTCCCACCCCATCTGAAGCAAGGGAGAATGAAGAAAACCAAAGACACAAGCGAAAGATTAGTCTAAAGGACTAATGGACCACAACTACCACTGCCTTCACCAGACTGAGTCCCGCACAACTAGATGGTGCCTGGCTACCACCACCAACTGCTCTGACAGGGATCACTATAGAGGGTCACGGACAGAGCTGGAGAGAAATGTAGAACAAAATTCTCACGCACAAAAAAAGACCAGACTTAATGGTCTGACAGAGACTGGAGAAACCCCGAGAGTATGGCCCCTGAACATCCTTTTAACTGAGTACTGAGGACTGAGGTCACTTCTGAGTTTCACCTTTCATCCAAAGATTATACAGGCCCATAAAACGAGTAATGATACATGTAGCTCAACCATGTATACAAGACTAAACAGGCACACCAGCCCAGGGGCAAAGACTAGAAGTCAGGAGGGGATAGGAAAGCTGGACGAATAGAAGTGGGAAACCCAAGGTCGAGAAGGGGAGAGTGTTGACACATCGCAGGGTTGGCAAACAAGGTCACAAAACAATATGTGTATTAATTGTTCATTGAAAAACTAATTTGCTTTGTGAACATTCATCTAAAACACAATAATTAAAAAAAAAGAATGAGTTCTTCTGAAGATTCTTATTCTTGTAATATCTGAGGATGTCTTTGGGTTGATACATACAATGTATTCAAATTATTATTCAATATAGATGTTGAAGCTGAAAAAAATTAAATTTGGTTATGTGAAAGAACTAAATATTCCACACTTTCCAATAATAAGAAAAACTGTGAAAAATATTGGTAGATTTTCTTCTACTTAAAAGAAGAGTGACTATAAAGCTGAAGGAAACGATCACAAATAATTAAAAGTTAAAAATCAGGCTAACTTCAGGAAAAAAAACCAACAGATTAGATATTTGAGAATTTTACCTTCTATTTTGAATATGACTTATTGCAAGAATTTAAAGGCTTAAAATGGAAACTAAGTGTTATTTTATTTAATTTCTCAGAATTTTAATAATACAGCATAAAAGATACAAAGAAGAAGGCTTCTAAACCTAAATTTTGTCATGGTCTTAGCAGACAAGTGTGTACTGCAAAATTTTGACTAATTGAAAGTTAGGTAATCAGAATCCTGAGGTAGCCAGATTCTTTCTCCTTTGCCCATCTTTATATATTTTTAAAGCAACTTTCTGGTTGTGGCATGGAATAAGTACTACTCATTCAGATCAATCTCTTATAATCGTTACATATGTATTATTGCATGACAAGAGTGGTAAATTCCATAGCCTTTGAGAGTTTTCAAAGTGATTTCAAAGAGGCATGTTCATGAAGCCCTTATAAGGTATGCTGAATAGATACTATTTCTTCTTTTGCAGATGAGAAGTGAAAGGATAAATTATTTGAAGCAGGCATTGTAGCAAGGTGAGTTCTCAGCCCACCTCTCCTATTCTCAGCCTAGTCCTCCCTCTATGATCTATGCTGGACTAATGCTGTATCCCTCACCAGGCTCACTATGAAACACTGCATCATCTGCAGTCACCAAAGAGTTAATCAGATTTACACTGTCTTTGTTAAAGATACATAAAATATATGTTTTAGAAAGATTTTCAACAATAACGGTTGAATCAATAAATTTTTTCACTTAGTCTTCACATAACTAGAAAGTTAAATGAACCAAAATGCCACCTAAGCCAGTTAGTTATATTTTTAAAAACTATAGACAAACTACTGTCAAATGAGATTGTATACCCCTGTAGTGCATGTGACAGCATCTTCTTCCCCTTGTGATGTACAAGTTTTAATTAAGTGAAAGTCATTAAGGACTCTTGGATTGTAAAATCACCAGGCCTCATAAGCTTGTAGAAGAACTGTACCATTGCAAGTCTTGTCAAATAGGCTTTTCTTTTTTTTTTAATTTTGTTTTTTTTAAAACAGGCAGCAGAAAACTAAGTTCTGTTTTCATTAAGAGGAAAACTAAAATTTTATACCATTGCAGTAGGGGATGAGCAAGGGGATCCTGTTTATCCATCTGCTTCTTGATTTCCAGATATGGTGCCTGGAGAAAAAGTCATTATACTTTTAATTTGCCTTAAAAATCCTTTCCCCACCCCCCAACTTTTTTTCTTGTTTTTCATTTTTACAAAAGGAACATCAGGCTTAATAGTATGCTTAACCTGGTTACACTTGAAAATCTGCAGCCTTGACATTGTAACAGCGACAACTACCCGAGTCATTTACCCTCAAGATTACCATTTTGAACTTTGAATTAATATTAAAGCAAAATTTGTGATGGCTACTCATCACAGTCATATGTGAGGGTATTTACTTAGGTCTACATTTTTACATGACAAAATTGGACAAAATATACATAAAAATAACTTTTTGCTAAAAAGTAGTTAATGAAATTGACCCAATTAACCATTTCCATTTCTGTGACAACATAGGTCTATCTACAGGGCAGTACTCCTAGAAAATAGTACAGGATAATGTTATATTTATTTGGAGGGGTTTCAAGAATTTGATATAATAAAACCTGAAAGCATGCCTATGAAGTAGAGAGTGAAAAGAGGATGCAGGTTACTATTTTCATCTTGACAGTGAAGACACTGAAGCATCAAGCAACTAAGCAACTTGCCCAAGATCAGGAACCTCACTGATGAGCCAATTATGCAACTTTGGCCTCTAACTTCCGAGGCTGATGCTCGATCTTCTATACTGTCTCCTATTAAAATAGCTTACACATGACCCAGAATTTTAAAGGAAGCAATTTTTGGCATAGAGCTAATCCCAGAGTTAAATCCAAGAATGATCAGGGTCTACGGTATAGTTTAAGCACAATAAATCAAAGTCGTTTTCATGACTAAAAACATTTGCATAACTTTCTGTAAGAAACTGCAACAGGCTTTTTTTCTCCCCCTTAAGTGGAAATGTATTTTATTGTTTTCTTTTTCTTATACAAATAACAATGCTTATTTGAAAAAGAATTTGGAAAATACAGGAAGGTGTGAGTGTAGAAAAACATCCAGAAGGGATGGTGGATTTTAAGCAAATAACTTGTGAATTAAAGGATCTTTTGTTTACCATTGTCTGAAAATTAGGAAGAGTTCATACTATTTGGTGAAAGCATGAATATTTTTAAATATATGAATAAATAAATAATTAAAAGAAATCAGTTCTTTTTTATTGTCCTCTATAATCCAGATTGGGTGCTTTACCTCAAGCTTTTGAAAGAGGATGAGAAGCAGGCACCAAAGTCACAGACTTAATAAGTGACAGGGACAGTATTTTGAACTAAGATAGTGAATAGGTTATGCGACAGAAAAAAACAAGCAAGTAGAGAGGAGAATCCAATTTGAGAATGTAAAAATGCACTGTTGGAGCACCGTCTTCAAAGGGAGAAGTAGCGCTGATTTGCTTGGTAAGAACTCAAACTGGATGTCCTCTTTAGAGAGATTGACGGGGGTGAGTGACCTACAGGTAAAGAACTGAGGGTCTCTGGAGTTGGAAGAGAGTGAGATGACTATCACAAGGTAGACTGGGGGACAGGAGCTTTGTGGGCCCACGACAGAGGATTCTCCTATTCCTTCTGCGGAGAAAGCATAATGCTCATTATGAAACGCCAGGTATCTCTAGGGGCAGTGTAAGCCCTGAAACTACTACATACAACACACACACTGTGTATTGTTGTCAATTTCTAATTATTAATTTCTACTTACAATGATAAATTTTATACCTGTCTCCAAATCGCTGGCAGTGGATAATTCAATAATTCAATAACGTGCTTTTCCACGTACAGCCCAGTTATGTGTTGGACTTCCATAATAAACCCTGTTCCCTGCTTGTTAAACTTTCCCGAAAAGCCTCACTAATGGACAAAAATATAAACTCACACACTCAGGGAATCTGAGGTCTTCCAGTGATGTTTTGAGGTTCTGCGCTCTATCTACAATATTAATGCAAAATTTGCATTTTATAGAAGATTTCTGTTTTTATTTTAACATTAAAATAATGTTTTGAAATGACTACCATTAATCAAATTAACTTTCTAGGAAAATGGTAACCTTTGCTCCCAAATTAAATATCCCCTGACATACTTTCACATACTCAAGGCTTTTCCTGACTTTAAGAGCAGAACAATAAGATGATAATTATGAATTTACATTCCAAAAAGCCACAGCGGCAGCAAGTCAATACATTTTAATATAATTTAATTAAAACATCTTTGTATAGCACAACTATAAATTTCATACCAATATAAATACCAAAATACAACAGAAAATTACACATTTCATTACATGGTCAGTACTCTCAGATATCTTTAAAATATGATTTTACTCAAGCAAAACTGAGCTGTACAAGACCACAAGATGACATACTTACTTGTGTCATTTCTCTAATAGAAGTTATGCTATCTAGTGCTTTCATTACTCGGTCATAGTTCTTCTTCTGTTTGAATGGAAAAAAAAAAAAGTATCCACTTACAAGCATACGTAAATTTCCATGGGGCGGGCAGTTTGAAATCAGCAACTATTATGTGGCATAAAAGGGAAGACTGACATAAGATGGCTAAAAGACATAGGATTTATAACTGAATAAGAAGGAAGGAAAGAGAAAACAATGCCAGAACAAATTGTGTTTGGCCTGCAGGGAAAAAAAATGCTACAGAGTAGACATTGCGCTCATGGTTCTGGCTTTCATCACTAAAATATCAAGACATGATGAATAAAGTAAGCATAGAATCCTTCTGAATTATAAAAATTCACTTTAAATCTCACAATGTTAATTTTTTTGTATTTCCTTTTGTTTGGAAGATTATTACCAAAAGATTATGACTGACAAGTGCGTAGCTGACACCACTCAACCGATAATTCATTTTTAAACATAACTATGCACTCATGCCAATTATGAAGGAAGAAAATTTTTTCTGAGGAAATTTTACATAATCACTGTTTCTATGAAATAATTTCAAGAAGACACCAAGGCAATTTTACCTCTCACACAATTTAAACATTTTGATATTTCAAAAGGAATGTGCCTAATCTCCATGACTATTTATAAAATTCTTTTCCCATGAAATGCCAGTTAATCTACAGGGTGAATCCAACTTTCACTTTATTTAGATAATGTGGGTGTGGTGGTGGCAGTGAGCAAGGGTGCATGAAGTGAAAATACAACATAAAAAGGAACTGGTCCCTTTACCTAGGCTCCTTAAAATTAAAATGAGGTTATGTAAGCCAGAATCCCAAAAAATATATATAAAATGAAAATAATCATACTGACCACTGCAATCCAATTTGATATAGCTATTTATCTACCAGTCATGAGGAGGGGTTGGGTAAAGATCTGAAATTTAGATTAACTGGGCCTGGTTTCATGAGAATGAAGTTCTGAAAATGATTTTAAAGGAGGGAAAAGGGGAAGAGATAGGGTATGTGAAAGACTGACGGTAGAAGCAAATAAAGTTTGCTGAAAAAGAATCATAATTACTAAATGGAATGCAGAGTTCGGACAGGTCATGGATATGGATGGTGAGATAGAGATTCAGACCGAAAGAAGAAAGCGGACTAAAATCTAAATGACAGTGAAAGGAAACGTGCCATTGATATACTAGGATAACTACTTACCCTGGGGTTGAAGGCCAGCATCTGAGGATCATTAGGATCTACTACAGAAGGATATGGCTCGAAAATGACAACTTTCCTAGGAGATTCCAACGCAGATCTACACATAGATACTAGAAGATCTACCACCTTGAAATACACACATGAAATAATTACTATCCTCCAGGTTGTATCAAGTGCTTTCCCATTGTTTTTCCCTCTCATGGTAACACAAGCTCATTAGAAGATCCTCAGGACTGCTACCAGGCCAAATCCGATGAACTTGAACACTAATTTAAAATAATGAATACATGGTGCCCACAATTATTCATGTCCTAATATGTCTTTGTCATGAGTACATATTATGTGCTAACATTGTTCTAGGCCCTATGACTAGACAGTGAACAAAAGAGAAGGTCCCTGTTCTTGTAGAGTCTATATTCTAATGGAGAAGATACGTAATAAAAAATCAGTTACAGAGATATATGCTTACATAGAATTTCTGGTAGTGTTAAATGCTGTACAGATAAAGCTGGCATTAGAGACTGAGTCGGTAGGGGGTGCTGTTTTATTTAGAGTGGCTAGGGAAGGTCTCTCTGAGGAGATGCTATTTCCACAGAGTGACTAAGGAAGTGAGGGAGGGGGATATGTAGAGGGGAGACTATTCCAGGTGAAAAACCAAAAATGAAGGAAATGAGAGTGGCCTGCTCCAAGAATAGCAAATCCCCTGACATTATCTTACCTCTTCCTACTCTCTGTCAAAGGTCATTAATGACCTTCAATTTGCTAAGTACAATGGCTTTATTGCTACATTATTCCAGAATTGCTTTGCAGAATTTACTACAAAGCAGTGCTAGACAGCAGTTAACAGCATGGTTCTGAGGGCAGTTATTACCAGGCATCCTTCCCCAGCCCTCAAAACAAATATGATTCAGGGAACTGAATCAGGAAAACTGATAATGTCTAAATGCTTAGAAATTCAGGAGAGAGCTCACCAGAACAAAAATATCTACAGTGTGAACACAGGGACTTAAAAAGGAAGCAGCAGATTTAATCTTTAGAGGGAAAGCTATTTCTAGAATGTTTTAAAACAGGCATTTTTAAAAACAAATGCACACTAAGAGTGAACAATTTTTGATTCCCCAATTTTTATGAGAAGGGCACATAACCTAATGTCAGGAGTGCTCAGTGTTGTGTCTGTATTCACAAATTCATCCACCCCATCACAGCACCCAGAATTTCCAGTGACCTTATTCAAGCCACTGAGCATAAGATCTATAAAACTACCCAAAGTATAGACATAGATACCCATAAGACTCACTCAGAAAACACCAAAGCTGAAACAGCTAATATGCTTCCAATGTACAATTTCATAAATATATAATACACATTTTTTTAAAAAAAATTAGTATCCATGTAAGGTTTAGAAGTATGACCAGAATATACCAGCAGAATAAAGTAGTGAAAGGAATATTCCCTTTTGGAATAGAATCACAAAATTCTCTAATCTTTGCACCTTGATCTTTAGAGCTGAAACACTAAATTGATTGATCTGACTCAACACATGTGCTTTGTACATATTTCACTATATATTCCTAAATTAATTTTTAAAAAAACATTATTTGTGAAGATTCATCTGTAAGAGAAAAAAAAGACTATTATTCTACTAACAGGCCATACTGTTCATGTGATCTTCAGTTTTTCTTCTCATCAATAGTTTCCTATTTCTAGGCTTTAGTGTTTTCCCTTTCACAAGATAATTTACAACCAATAAAATGCACAATACTTAAACGGACTACCTGAAGAATTTTTACTGTGTGTACGTGTACATGTTGTTAGGTGCCATCCAATCAGTTCCGACTCACAGCGACCCTACATACAACAGAATGAAACACTGCCCGGTCCTGCACCATCCTCACAAGCATTGTTATGCTTGAGCCCACTGTTGCACCCACTATGAAAAATTCATCTCATTGAGGGTATATCCTTTTCTTCGCTGACCCCCTACTTTACCAAGCATGATGTCCTTCTCCAGGGACTGGACTCTCCTGATAACATGTCCAAAGTATGTGAGACGAAGTCTCGCCATCCTTGCTTCTAAAGAGCATTCTGGTTGTACTTCTAAGATAAGTTTGTTTGTTCTTCAGGCAGTACGTGGTATATTCAATACTCTTTGCAATACCATAATACAAAGATATCACTTCTTCTTCATTCTTCTTTATTTACTGTCCGGCTTTCGCATGCATCTGAGGTGAATGAAAACATCATGGCTTGGGTCAGATGCGCTTCAGTCCTTAAAGTGACATCTTTGCTTTTTAATACTTTAAAGAGGTCTTTTGCAGCAGTTTTGCCCAATGCAATGCATTCTTTGATTTCCTGACTGTTGCTTCCCTGGGTGTCAACTGTGGATTCAAATAAAATGAAATCCTTGACAACTTCAATCATGTCTCCATTTATCACGATGTTGCTTATTGGTCCAGTTGTGAGGATTTTTGTTTCTTGATGTTAAGGTGTAATCCATACTAAAGGCTGTAGTCTTTTATCTTCAACAGTAAATGCTTCAAGTCCTCTTTACTTTCAGCAAGAAAGGTTGTGTCATCTGCATTAACACAGGTTGTTAATCCTGATGCTGTGCTCTTCTTCATACAGTCCAGCTTCTTAATTGCTCGGCATACAGATTAAGTGGTGAAAGGATACAACCCTGACACATCTTTCCTGATTTTAAACCATGCAGTATCCCCTTGTTCTTTTCGAATGACTGCCTCTTGGTCTACGTACAGCTTCCTCATAAGCACAATTAAGTATTCTGGAATTCCCGTTCTTCGCAATGTTATCCATAATTTGTTATGATCCACACAGTCAAATGCCTTCGCATATTCAATAAAACACAGGTAAACATCCTTCTGGTATTCTCTGCTTTCAGCCAAGATCCATCTGACATCAGCAATGATATCCCTCATTCCACATCCTCTTCTGAATCTGATTAAATTTCTGGTAGTTCCCTGTCGATGTAGTGCTGCCACCGCTTTGAATGATCTTCAGCAAAATATTACCTGTGTGTGATATTAATGATACTGTTTGATAATTTCTGCATTCTGCTGGATCACCTTTCTGTGGAATGGGGTACAAATATGGATCTCTTCCAGCCGGTTGGCCAGTAGCTTCTTCCAAATTTCTTGGCATAGACTAGTGAGCACTTCTAGCACTGACTGCATCTGTTTGTTGAAACATCTGAATTGGTATTCTGTCAATTCCTGAAGACTTGTTTTTCACCAATGCCTTCAGTGCATTCTGGACTTCTTCCTTCAATACCATCAACTCTTGATCACGTGCTACCTCCTGAAATGGCTGACCATCAACCAACTCTTTTTTGTACAGTGACTCTGTATATTCCTTCCATCTTCTTTTGATACTTCCTATGTCGTTTATATTTTCCCCATAGAATCCTTCACTACTGCAACTTGAGGCTTGAATTTTTCCTCCAGTTCTTTCAGCTTGAGAAATGCCGAGCGTATTCTTCCCTTCTGGTTTTCTAACTCTAGGTCTTTGCACATTTTGTTATTTTACTTTGTCTTCTTGAGCTGCCCATTAACGTCTTCAGTTCAGCTTTTACTTCATCGTTTCTTCCTTTTGCTTTAGCTACTCGACTTTCAAGAGCAAGTTTCAGAGTTTCTTCTGACATCCATTTTGTACCTTTCTTTCTTTCCTGTCTTTTTAATGACTTCTTGCTTTCTTCATGAATGATGTCCCTGATATCACTCCACAACTCATAAGGTCGTCACTCATTAGTGCTTAATGAGTCAAATCTATTCCTGAGATGGTCTCTAAATTCAGGTGGGATATACTCTAGTAGACTTGCTCTAATTTTCTTCAGCTTCAACTTGAACTTCATATGAGCAATTGATGATCTTTTCCCGTGGGCCTCTGGTCTTGTTCTGACTGATGATATTGAACTTTTCCATTATCTCCTTCCACAGATGTAGCCAATTTGATTCCTGTGTATTCTGTCTGGTGAGGTTTATGTGTACAGTCGTCATAGGTTGGTGAAAAAAGGTATTTGCAACGAAGAAGCCATTGGGCTTGCAAAATTCCACCATGTGATCTCCAGCGTCGTTTCTATCACCAAGGCCATGTTTTCCAACTACCAATCCTTCTTCTTTGTTTCTAACTTTTGCATTCCAATCACCAGTAATTATCAATGCATCATGATTGCAAGTTTCATCAATTTCAGACTGCAGAAGTTGGTAAAAATCTTCAATTTCCTCATCTTTAGCATTAGTGGTTGATGCATAAATTTGAATAATAGTCATATTAACTGGTCTTCCTTGTAGGCATATGGATATTATCCTATCACTGGCAGCATTGTACTTCAGGATAGATCTTGAAATGTTCTTTTTGACGATGAATGCAATGCGATTCCTATTCAATTTGTCATTGCCAACATAGTAGACCATATGATTGCCGAATTTAAAATGGCCGATACCAGTCCATTTCAACTCACTAATGTCTAGGATATCAATCTTTACGTGTTCCACTTCATTTTTGACGACTTCCAATTTTCCTAGATTCATACTTCGTATATTCCACATTCCCATCATTAATGGATGTTTGCAACCGTTTCTTCTCATTTTGAGCTGTGCCACATCAACAAACGAAGGTCGCAAAAGCTTGACTCCATCCACGTCATTAAGGTTGACAATACTTTGAGGAGGCAGGTCGTCCTCAGTAGTACTTTGAGTGCCTTCCAACCTGAGGAGTTCATCTTCCCGCTCTAAACTGATACACGTGTCTACATATACATTAAAAATATACATGTAAATATATGTTTTCTTAGGGGGCAATACCAGGCAGTATTTTCAAAATTTATTTAATCGTGAAACTATTTTATTTCCACTGTTAATCACGTAAGCAATGTTCTACTATAAATTATTTTTCATTTATAATTCACTATGTATCACAAATATTGTCCTTAATATTTCATCAAGTGGATGCAACATAGTTTACTCAATCAGTGAAATAACTGGGTTAGGGGATATAGACAGCTAGGAATGTCTATATTAATTAACCATGGTACCTTCATCTAGGAGCCCTGGTGGCACAGTGGTTAAAGTGCTCTGGGGGAAGAAAGTTGTGGTGGTCTGCTTCTGTTAAGATTTACAGCCTTGGAAACACTATGGGGCAGTTCTACTCTGTCATACAGAGTTGCTGTGAGTTAGAATCAACCTGATGGTAATGAGTTTGGTTTGCTTTAGTTCACCTTCATCTAGTGTTAACACCGATTATATTGTAGGCATTCAATATCTGCTGAAAAAATAACCTACGTGTGTTGCAAAATTATTTTTCCCAACCATCTTTGTAAATTTTATAATTGAGAAATTGGTAAGTCCTTTTATATTTAGCATCCTTTTGAATTTTGGTGAGGCAGAACATTTTCTCATGTTTCTTTACTAACTATACATCCATTTTTGTGAACTGTGTGTTCACTTCCTCAATCTATTCTGGTTTTCCTCTGAATTTTTATGAGGTCTTTAGATAATTGTTTCAAAATAAACTCTAGAGATATTAATGTTCACTATTTTTTCAAGTAAAAAATGTAAAGTACTTATGGCCACAAATCTGTTTATATTTTCCTTTATGATTTCTTATAACTGCATAAATTTATCACTATTTTTATTTTTAATTTTTATACTTTTTATAAAATATTCTTTAGTTCATTTGGAATATTTTTTGTACACATTGGTAAGGTAAAGAGCTAACGTGATTTTTTCCCCCATGAAGCAAGTCATTTGTTCTCACCTCACTTCATACAGAATTCTTTTTTTTAATGAATTGATGTGATGCCTTTTCATCATATATTAATTTTATTCACAATTTGATCCATTTTGAGCATGATCATTGACCTGCCGTTCTACTCTTTTGCCAGTACTGTATTTTATTAAAATATTATAGTGCTACATGTTCTTGTATATGGTTGGTCTAATCTTCCTTAATTAACATTCTTTGGTAGAATTTTCTTTGAAATTTTATCTGGTTTATTCTTATAGATGAATCTGTAGTTTGTTCATGTTTCATAAATAAAAAAAATTAACTGAAATTTTGACAGGAATTACATAAATAAATTATGGCATCTTTCCATTTTTCCTTTCCAAAAACATAGACTGTTTCTCTACTTCCAAGTTATTTGTTTCTTTTTATACTGTCCTTTATGTCATAAATACTGTTATTCTAAATTGAATGTTCTCTTTATTATAGGTTCTGTCCATTATCTTACCACCTAAGTGTTTAAAATAAATTGGCTTCCAATTTATGGCAACATAAGTTTACAAATGTACAATAAATTTTACACAAAGCATGTGCAAATGTTTCAATAATTTAAGTTCACCATACAAGAAAGAATAACAATTGTTTTAAACAAGAGAAAGCTGGTTTAATCTCTCCTCTTGACAAACCACACATTAGATAAATAGAGCAAAATTTAGTTTACATCTAAAAAATATCAAATGCTAGTCTGCTTTTTAACTTAACAGCAGGTTGTCAAAAATTGCCCAAAAGAATAGCAGAGAGAAGATTAGTGAACTGGAACACATTTTTCAAATCAAAATAAGAAATAATTAGTATCATGTGTCACTACCTGAGCCCCAGTTGCTATTTCATCAGCAGCTTCATTCATTACTCCCAAAGTTTGGAAAGCAAATACACACAGCTCTCGTTCACATACGGTAGGCTACAAAACAAAAGGGAATTAGTAACCATATTTTTCCCATCTCTCAATTCCTAAATTAAATTTATGACATTCCACATAATAAATAGAAAGTATGAGATTTTAGTGTTAAAGCAAAAAGAAAAGCATGCCATTTTAGTAAAAGTTAAATTTATAACTAGTAAAGACTCTGTCACTAATATTCTAATAAATAAATATTCATATAAAATAAAAAGAAAAACGTATTGCTGTTGAGTTGATTGTGAATTATAGCAACCCTGCAGGACAGAGTAGAACTGCCCCATAGAGTTTCCAAGGAGCGCCTGGTGGATTTGAACTGCCGACCTTTTGGTTAGCAGCCGAGCTCTAAACCACTGTGCCACCAAGGTCCAAATATTCATATAGTAAGGAGTAATTTACTAACATAGAGTCACAAATCAAAAAGAAATTATGCATGTCGATTAGTTGAATGCGCTTGCAATCAGAATGATTTAGCAAGAGAAAAAAATGTCCTTAAACAGGAAAGTCCATCTCTCCTGAAAAAGACAAAGATCCAAGCTGGTGCAATAATAAAATATAAGGTTAAACACAAAAGCTGTATAAAACAAATAAACCAAAAAAAAAATTTTTCCCCCTTTTTCCTAGGTAATTTTCTTTGGAAGAAATAGCATGACTGTGCTTACTTGCTAGCTAGCTCTTGAATGATTGGTTTTGTTGCAAAAACTTTTGACTTCAATAACCTCCTGAAGTCAACAGCACTGAAATATACACTCTGCAATTGCTTTGGAAGAGGTCTCATCTTTCAAATCTAATATGGTGTCATCCATTTGATTTATCTTATCTCTTGAGTTACATTGCATTAGGTAGCTGATGAAGCCTGGCAGCATGATGCAATCCATGGTGCTGCTCCGCACAGCAGACAAAAGGCATTTGTTAGTGCCACGGCTACTATGCTCACTCATTTCAGAGGACGACCTGGTCTACTGCTTAACCAGTGGGGAAGTATGGACCTATTGTGAACATCCTTCATGGACATACAGCCTGATCAAACACAAAGATTTCTGGTTGACTTTTCCCAAAAAGAATTTTAGAAAAATGGATTGATATATTTCCTTTGTCAGTCTTAAAAGTACAATTTGATTCCAATTTCAGGAAAACTACTTGTGAGAGTAAATTAACTGAAGAAAGTCGATCTAGACTCAAGCTATGCATGCTGATAAAAACATATGCACATACACACACACACACACACACACATATATAAATATATACACATGTATTATGCATATATATAGTTACACACATCCACACATATATATATACACATATATGTTTAGGTATACTTAGAGAAGACTGTTCAATTTCTACTTTTATTTGAGTGCTTAATCTACATATAATCATCTTCCATTTTCTGTGTGCATCTATGTGCATATATATATACATTGTACCCTCAACTTTTCCAGTGACACTGGATTGGATTTTTGTTCATTTTCTGGGTCCTAGAGCATAATATGTTCTGCAATAATAATGGCAATCATTTATTGCACATATACTATAGTGTGAAACACTATATTGGTCACTTTATATGCACTATCTCATATAGTGAACCCATATAGAAACAAGAATGCAAGAAGATTAATCTTGGAAATAATAAAGGGTGGTAAGAATTTATTCATGCACAGGCTACCTAAAGTTCACTGAGGAAGTAAACACTGACATAGAAGGTACTTTGTTTTTAATAACAGTCCTGTCAAAAAACATACAAGGGATGGAAACCCTGGTGGTATAGTGGTTAAGTGCTATGGCTGCTAACCAAGAGGTTGGCAGTTGGAATCCACCACACGCTCCCTGGAAACTATATGGGGCAGTGCTACTCTGTCCTATAAGGTCGCTATGAGTTGAAATCGACTCGACTGCAATGGGTTTGTTTTTTTTTCTTTAAGGATGGTTTCTATTTGAACTTCTATTTGGACAATCAACTATGATTACTTTGTGAGCATGCAAACATGTTATGTATATACACACACACATATACGCATTCACTCTAGGGAATATACCAATAGATATTATGTTTTCAGTACCAAGTTCTTGCTTTAAATAATGGAAATAAAATGAAATAAAATATTCCACTACACTAGTTTGGAAAGTTTATAAAAAATTAATATAGAAAAATTTTCAAAGACTTAAGAAAAAATGCAATAGATAGTTATTCTTACACACCTCCATTAGCATACTTTGTCCCTAATTCTAGGTATTTACGTACCTGACTTTGTCTCAAAAGACTTTTAGCAATTTCACCCAGACCTCTCAATTCTCTATTTCAGGAGAAAAATAAGCAAAATTTCAGTGCTTTCCATAATACTTTCTTCTGCATTTCTGTTTCATCCCCTCTCATACCTGTAAATTCTAACCTTTAAATCTCTAAAACACACTGACTTTCCAACTTACCTATTATTTTACATAGTAAACCTACATTCCTAATGATAAAGCTATGACTTGATTCCTTTATGAACACTTTTTTTCTTTCTTGCATTTCTTTGGTTCAAAAGTGGTCCTTCCTCTCATACTTCAATGAAGCTGATATATAGAAGTATCCTGTTACTATAACTGTTTGAAGAAGGAAATAAGGTATACTACAAAACCTTCCTTTTGGAAAAAAAGTTTTGCCATAATACTGAAAAATAAGAAGTACACATTACATTCTTATAAAAATCTTATCTTCCCTTCTTTAAAAAGAAAGTAACAAGTATAGATGAGATGTGATTAATTTATATACCATAATAACATCATACTAAGGAAATGCTAGCGAAGTCTTTATCTTCCTTTTGTTTTTATTAGAAAGTTAAGAGAATATTCAGAGACTAAATCAGTTTAATTTTGAGGTAATTTGAACTAGTTTGTGTAGACTTGTTAGTTGCCCTTGAGTCAATTCCAACTCATAGTGACCCCATGTGTGTAGAACTGCTCCATAGGGTCTTCAAGACTGACCGTTCAGAAGCATACAGCCACTACTAGTCCCCTTCCCCTTTATTTATTCACATTTTATTTGAGAGAAGTTCAAAATGTCAACACAAGATGACACTCTAGATGAATGTTACCAAATTATATTAGGTGATCAAGATTAGATGTCTCACTGCTCACAGAAGGGAAATCCTTCTCAAGGAAGGCTAACTGAAACACTCCTCCTTAATGAACAGTTTAAGTATTATATTATTGACTAGCCCTTTCCTACCCTGAACTCCCAGCCCACCTCTGGCATCAACAAATTCTTCTATTGTTATGTTATTACACAGAATTCTAGCATCAATTCAAAATATAGCATAATCATTTTAATAGCTATTACCAGAATAAACATTAATGATATGTTTTATTATACATACTTTAATACAAATTATGTATACTTAAGTATAACAAAGTGTGTAAATTATTCATTAATTCATGGTGAGTTTACAATAAATCCATTACTGTTTGAATTTGTATTCAAATTCTTGAGATTTGAGAATTCTCAATATTATATTATTTTAAATATCCACATTTGCCTTCAAGCAACTAATCTCTATATTAAGATGGTAAATCCATGTGAAGCCCCTCTTGCCATTACATACACACAATATATTTGCAATACATTATTTACTATGCATCACTTAAAAACAAGGAAACTTTGTATGTCCTGAAGATAATATTTATTTTAGAAATTTTTAAGCTAAGTTAAATACACTTTTATTTTTATTTGATTCAAATCAATTTAAATATGAGCAACAGAAACATGCTTCAAAAATGTTTTTAAGCCCTAAACAATATTTTGGAACCTAACTGCATTTTAGAAACTGTTGTGTATTCAATGAATACAAATTACCTCCTAATGAAAATAGAAATAACACGACTTAGAGAATTTAACTATGTATTTACACAAAGAGACAAGGATGGTGTAGGTTATTGGTTTTCAAGCTTTTTTTTGCTATGATCTTTCTTCTTAAACAAAATATTTCATTGCAAGTTCAACAGGTAAAAGTGGAGCTTGTTTCAGTTGGAGCACATGTGTGTTCAGTTTTCCTATTTGTAAAACGGGAATAAAAACATCAACTCAAGTTAATAAGGGGACCAAGTGAGATAAGTTTATAAAATCTCTTTTTGAGGTAGACAGTGCTGTTTTCTTTACAGAAACAGACTACCACATCTTTCTACCATGGAGTGGCTGGTTGGTTTGAACCACTGACCCTCTGGTTAGTAGCTAAGAGCTTAACCACTGCGCCACCAGAGCTCCTTCAAACCTGAGTAAGTTGCCTCAACAACTTGCTTTAACCCAATGTGTACATACGAAAATAAACATTTAATAAAAATTAAAAAAAAATTTAAATATGTAACTTGCTTTGAAGCATAATATGTACTTTTATTTTCATGATGTAAGTTTAACAACTCTTAATTTATTGCTAAAATCTTTCTTGCTAAAAAAGAAATAAGCAATGTAAATATACATTCTTGATTTAAAAACTGGTATCAAAAGATCTGAGAATAATTATATATATACACACACACACACACGAGTATTTACTAGAACTACAAACCCACAAGCCTCTAATTCTCTGTGATTCCTGTTTTATAACCAATGGTTCTTTTGTGGTTTGGAAGAGAGACACATTCAAGTGTCGGGGATGGTTTACTGTCAATGAAGACACAGGAATCACCGTGGGATCAATACCAGGATCTGCAGTAAGATAGGATCAAGTTTGATGAGGCCTCAACACAACTGTCTCAAACAACCAAAGATGCTATTTGAGCATTAAAACCAATTTCTACTCTGAATATAAAAAAAAGACAACCTTATTTTGGGACTAAAATGCTTTGGCATAATTATTAATTTTAAACACTCAGCCTGTATTTCAGAACTTGAAATCTGAACTTCCATGACTTTGGGGAGGGGAAACATAAGTCATGCTTTTCATTTATTCTTCAAATATTAAAGTTAAACCTAAATACAAGAAGACTGGTGATTTTACTTTTTGGAAAGTGAAGTGGGATATCTC